TATATATATATATATATATATATATATATATATATATTGTGTATAATTTTCATAATGCCGTTCATCTGCTGCAAGTTGCAACTTATGTCGTTGGCTGCTCGCCTATAATTAAAAAAGGTTAGAAATAATAGCTTGAGCTCTATTCTCGTCTTAAACAGATCAAGCCGGCATTTGTGATTCCAAATGAAGTGAACTGTGCGGTAATTAGATATCATAGCAGACGTGTTACGTGTTTGGAGTTCCACCCGACAAGTAACAATATTCTTATATCCGGTGACAAGGTTACCCCTTTATTTTCCCTTATCTATCAATTTTAAGTATATTTATGCGATATTTTGTGATGGCAATCTTGTTATTATTGTCATAAAGAAAGGACAACTTGGAGTTTGGGATTTCGTGAAAGTGCACGAGAGGACAGTGTACAGTAACATCCATGGATGCATACTTAACAACATGAAGTATGTTCTGCTTTTGCTTGCTTGCTTGTTTGTCAAGTCATAGTTGAGTGCTTCCGTTTTTTTTTTGTTTTTGTTTTTTTTTAACATGCATACAATACAGGTTTAATCCGATGAACGACGGGACAGTGTATGGTGCTTCTTCTGACGGTACAGTCAGCACCACTGACTTAGAGACTGGAATTTCGTCGACTTTGTTGAACCTTAATCCCGATGGCTGGCAGGTACTTACTAGTTCAGATTAATTTTTAAGACGATGATAATTTCCTCGATTGCTATACTAATGATTATTATGTGATTAATTATTGTACGGAATATTTCGTGGACCGTGATACTATAATTGTATATGCAGTATTATCATATATATATATATATATAATGGATTGTTTGTGATTTTTCTTTAGGGGCCGAGCACATGGAGGATGCTGTACGGGTTGGAAATGAATTCTGAAAAACGAACTTTGATCGCTGCCGATAATTTTGGACTTCTCTACACGTGTGTATATCCTTTATCTCGTCGCTTGTATATATTTACTTTTGAGAAATTGTTAGAGTTAAAATTGAAATTGCTTCCCCATACTAATCTTATGCTGAAGCTAGCGTAGTCTCTATGCTTCTCATATGTACCGTACTGTCCGTTTATTATATGACAGATTTTTATGATGATCGTATTCAACCAACCGAACAGTAAATCGAAGAATGTTGTAATAAATAGCTTTCGTATATTCTCTTTACATTTACCTGTGCGTTGATATGTAACCATCTGATTACGTGTGCCTTAGTGCACTTCCGTTTACGACTAGGAATCTTATGAATTAACTAATTTAACATGTGGTAATATCGTGTAAAGTTATCTGTTACGACAGTCCAGAGTGTAATTGTTTTCGTGACAGATTTTTCAACAAATCTTTGAATTAAAATGTTTTTTTTTTGTCCGGCCATATATATATATATATATATATATATATATATATATATATATATATATATATACAGGTTAGATATGCGCTCGAACAATGTCACGGGAAAACCGATATTGGTTCACAAGAGAGGAAGCAAAGTTACTGGTTTACACTGTCATCCTCTTCAACCAGATCTTCTTCTAAGTTGCGGAAACGATCACTTTGTAAGCTTCTATATGTTTATATTTTTAATTATAGTTTTTTTTTTAATTTTTTTTATGAAATACTATGATCGATTTTTCAAAATAATGTTTAAAGTTGAAAAGTAGATCAACATGTTTTTATGTCTTCCCTAGGCTCGAATATGGGACATGCGCATGCTAGAAGCTGGATCTTCGATTTATAATCTTGCACACAAGCGCGTCGTTAACTCAGCCTATTTTTCTCCGCACAGCGGCAGCAAAATACTCACAACATCGCAGGACAATAGAATTCGTATATGGGATTCCATTTTCGGGAATATGGATTCTCCGAGCCGAGAAATTGTGCACAGTCACGATTTTAATCGTCATTTAACACCTTTTAAAGCAGAATGGGACCCGAAGGTGATAGTTACTTTTAATTCGAGATATGAAAGACCTACGTGCAATCAAAATATATTTCGATTATATGTGGCAAAAAAATGCAATTTTTTTATTTATTTTTTATTTGCAGGATATATCGGAATCCCTTGTTGTTGTTGGGCGTTACATAAGCGAAAATTACAACGGGGTAGCATTGCATCCGATTGATTTTATAGACATAAATACAGGTCAGTTAGTTGCTGAGGTCATGGATCCGAATATTACGACAATCAGTCCCGTAAATAAGCTACATCCGCGTGATGATGTCTTGGCCTCCGGTAGTTCTAGGTCAGTTTATATCAATTCATTTTCGTTCTCTCTTTTTTTATGTTTGCTATATTATGACTTCATTTATTTTTGGGTAAATTACGGCCACCCCCCTTAGGTAAGCCCAAATTACAAAAACCCCCCCTCTTGTTTGGATAAGTGCAACCACACCCTAAACTATGTATTATCTTGTGAAAAATCCCTCCTTCAGTAAGGAATGCTTTCGAGATTATGTCTTATTATGCTATCGAGAATAAAGAATAGGAAGGCGGCGTTTTTCACAGTTTGTTGGAAATAGCAGTAATAAATAAATACGCGAGAAATAGAAGAATATTTATCCGGTTCTCCATGATTAAATTATTATTTGTTTTCTCAGGTCAATCTTCATTTGGAGGCCCGAAGAGAAGCTTGAGTTAAAGCGGGAGAGGGACGAAAGTAGGCTAATTTTGTGTGGGAAGGCTGAAAAGGAGCGAAAAGGCAAAAAGTCCGAATACGACAGCGGTGATGATTTTGATGATGGTGCCTCAAAGAAGAAACCCTTTTCAAAGTCAAAGTCGAAGTCAAACGGTGGTTCTAAGCGCAAATGCTGATGATATTCGGCAACTAATCTAAAAGCCCTTTTTTGAATTTGCTGAGAGAGGTTTTGTACTGTAAATAGTAGTAGCGCTCGGGAAATCCAGCAAAATGTAAACCTTTTAGGATTATATTACAACCTCAGTACTTAGCACTTACCTTCATAATTATTACTAGTAATGAAGTTTTTGTTGGGTGATTTTAAAACATGTTACGAAACGAATCTCGAAAATTTCGAAATATATAAGTTGTAGATCTTTATTTCAACCGATAATTAAGATTTTGAGCCTCGCTGCATGAGTTAGAGCTTGTCCTTGAGTTGGAATTCTCGAGCCTTGGGGGCGAACGATTTCGCCTTGCACCAAAAGACGAAACATCAATAAGAAAGATCTTACAAGAAGAAGAGAAGGCTAATACCATATAGATGTTCAATGAACCGTGTATTTGTGATTGAAATCCTCATAGAATATTGAGATTGCTGGATTCATTATAAGAAATGATTTTACAACATGGGTGTTAAGATTGGTTCAAGTTGAGAGAAGAAAGATCAAGATGACAAGAAGAGAAGTTGCACTAGGAGAAAGAAGAAGTTGAAGCTGACAAGAGATGTGTACAAACTCTTTCTGGAGACTTGGAAGCTGCTGTCTTGGAGTACAAGTTATTGGCTAGGAATCTTCCATATATACATTAAATGCCTACTTGGTGCACAAGAGTAATATATATATATATATATATATATATATATATATATATATATATATATATATATTCAGTCGAAAAATAACGAGAAAATAGAAGGTGTAAACATAGAAAATTCATTGGAAAGAATTAGAGTTTTCTGCAGAGGTTTACTGCGTTTTCTAGGTGTGAGTATGTTTTTTTATGCTTTTGGATTATATCGTATTATATATCATCTATTCAAAGTTTTCGTTCGATTATTTTATCTAAAATGTGTTTTCATTTTCTAAATTGTCCCCATCCATCGGGCCAAGTCGCTGAACTTTTCGAGTTGAGAAAGAGGGCTAGGCCCCGGGAGGGCTTGAAGGGCCTGGGGAAGACGGGAGTGAAATGATTTTATATGCTTAAATATATCTATGGACATTGTTTTGCTTATGTGTTACTTATTTCATAGGGATTATTTTATGGCGGCGGTTATATGCAAGCTCATTTTTTTATTAGTTCAAGACCTCCAACATAAAAATACTAATTTACCCTTAATGAAATTTAAAATCAAATAAAAAACACAAAACATTAAAAAAAAAAAAATTATTTCCTTTGTGCAAGACCAAATAAAATACATAAATCCAGAAACCTCTCTTCCTTATTTCACGATTTAAAAATCTCCTCCTTTTCTTTCTTCTTCACAAACCCATCAAGAAATCCTACACACCAAAATTATCAAATACATACCAAACATTCACGATGGAACCAGAAAACAATGATATGGTGGTTTACGAGGGTGGAAAACACAATGAAGTATATTTTAACAGTTTACTTTTTATTTTGGGTCGCTTTTTTTGTTGGGAAAAAAATTCGACGATACCAAAAATCGGTCTTCAAATACCGATTTTTGTTATTAAAGTCGGTAACCACATTCCGATTATTTTAATAAAAATCGGTACTTAAAAACCGATTTTTGTAGTACAAATCGGCATGACAACACCGATTTATTTTTGTATTATCGGTATTGTCATGCCGACTTGTACTACAAAAATCGGTTTTTAAGTACCGATTTTATTATCTGTGTTTTTTTAAGACCGTTTTCCCATACTTTCGTGCAACAACCTAGGGGATTGATGGAGGATTATTCAAATGAATTATCTAACGAACAAATATTTGAGACACGAGAAGCTCTACTCGATTTGGGTTAAAGGAGTTGGTAGACGCCAAGGAATGGTGATAAACATTTTCATTTCAAATACGGGATTGAAAGGGCGCAGAAGACCGTATGTTGTACTCGCATGTGAGCGTGCGGGTGAGTATCGTGAGAAGAAGAAAGCCGGTGAGAATGACCAAGGAGAGGGAAAGAGGAAGACGGGTTCTATAAAATGCAATTGCACATCTAGATTAAAGGGACAAAACGAGGAAATGATACCTATAATGTTGGGTGGAAGTTAAAATGAATTGTCCTATACCTCCTATTGGCGACGGTACCATGATGAAAAAGCGGATGGTTGGAAGACTTCCGGTATGAAATCAAGAATTACAATGTTTTGGAAGTTAGTTGGTCAACAAGTAGCCTTGCTAAACCTTCATAGATTTAATAAGTGAAGACGAGACGGTAAAAGATTTTTCGTGAAACAATGTAATTAATGTACAATATTTTAAGATTGTTGGTAGTCCTTATTATTATTATGCATTACTTACAATTGTTCGTTACATATATATATTTATGCTTAATACTTCTAAAGTTGTATTATAAGATCCAAACATCTAAGGATAGTGTGTATTATGAGTTGAAAAAAAAAATCCAAAAAGCGAAAAACCGTGAAATATCGGTACTGAAGAAGGACCTTCATTAATCCGAGTGCGTCAACCAGGAGGATTAAAAGAGGCACGCTTTTTTTTTTTTTTGGCTTTTCTACCTTGCTCTTTTGAGCATTTTCCTTTCGATTACGGTTTGAGACGGTCGGGGGTACACACAGGGTTAGCATAGTGTGATTTATATTTCTCGTGTGGTTTGCAAGCTATTATACGAGAGTATAAGTTTACTCGGTGCACCTATATTGTTGGTTTCGGATTCTTTGATATATAACTATTAGAACCACTCAAGATTATTGCCATTATAAACATATAAATATATGTTGAAAAATTAAATATCCGATATACACAATCACAAAAAATTGACATAAAGAGAACAAAAACTACGAACATCAAAAAAATAAAATAAAAAAATTTACGTGATGAAAAAAAAACGAATAGATCGGATATAGCGAATGGGGCATTATATAGTTTGGTTGAATATATTGTATGAAAGGAACTATTTAATTAAGGAAGAAATTGCAATAATAATTATACAATTAGAATTATGAAAATTTAAATGAAAATTGAAACGATTTAGACAATCTAAATAAGGTAAATATAAATATTGATTTGAATTGTTGCAACTTTTTTTTTTTTTTTAAATATATATAATTGAATTGTTGCACCTTAGTTAGAGGTGAATTATTCAATTTGCCTAATAGAAAGTCAAATGATTTGAATGAAAAATGATGCTACGGATTGAAAAAATAATAAAGAGTTGGTGGTTGAGATTATATATGGTATGTAGATAAAGATTGGAATATAGGAAAGTGGACCAAAAAGAAATAAAGAAAACATAAATGAGGTCAAAATAGGAGATATATATTTCTTGATTGTGTATTCTTCTTTTATACATTAAAGGAAATATACCTTTAATGTACTAAATTGATAATATTATTGAGAAAATCCAGAATAGATTGGAGCTAATTGAGAAAATTATTGATTATTTACCCAATTCCGAAATTATTGATCACATCCATTTTTTTTATTTTCCAACTTCATACAACGTTTCAATTCAATATTTTATTAATATATTATCCATAATATTGTTGGCATCACTACTAAAAAAAATCTTTTGAGTGACAAAACCTATTTTTTAGATAGTTAGGCAACAAGTATTGTCACTATGCTTGTCACTAATGGGGTATCGCTAATGCTCTATAGTGACAATAAATAAGGATTAAGTGACAATAAAAAGAACTATTAGTGACAAAAAAAATATTGTCACTTATGTCTGCATTAAGTGACAACTTTTGCATTATCACAATTGGGGTGTTGCTAATACAACTTTTTCTTGTAGTGCGCTTTTTATATATTGATTAATATGATGAGACAATTTAAAAAATACACGAAATAATATATTGACTAATGAATGTTTATATTTAGTACAATGAAAATTACAATGAATCATAATCTTTCCTTTTCATATTAAAAACTGGAAATGTTGATTAAGTATAAGAAATTTATTAACTAATATTAACTAAAGTCGTGTGATATTTACAAAATTTCCATAATTAAAATAATGTGATTATTTGATTATCATAAACTTATTACCACAATTGCCATTACAAACATATAAATATAAGATGAGAAATTAGACATCCGATATATACAATCACAGAAAAATTGACATAAAAGATAAGAAAAACAATAAATATCGAACAAATAAAATTCGATATATGTGGTTTAAAATCGTAGATCTGCAACCCAGCACACATACATATATGGGTGTGTTAATATGTGTAGATCAATGATGTGTAAAATTACATGGTGTGTTTGACCACGTATAGGTTCTACAAAACCCAAAAAAGGGGCTCCAAATCGATTTGCAAACATAATGCTACAACCGATGAAATACACTGGGTGTTTAATCATTGATGTGGTGGAATAAATTTCCACTAAACTTACATACACATAGGTATGTGTATAGTTATTTGCAGATCAACGTTAATAATCATCCAGTGTATTTCACAGGGTGTAGCATCAAATAAACTCTTAAGACCTCGTTTGGTTGCCAAGACAAGATTAAATAATTTAATAAAACTCAATTATATTATTGGACCTTGAAAGATTGAATAAAAAACATGTTTAGAATACAAGATAAACCAAGATAACATAATATTTACAGATCGACCGGGCAAGTTAATGAGAATACCAAACATCAAACAAAAGTCAAAATATTTAGTTAATAATAACTATTCTCCCAACCAAACGAGACCTAAGTAAGAAGGTTAAATGCTAAATGAGTTTTTTTGACCCTACATCGGTGATAAAAACTGGATGAATCTTCTACTGACGCATGCTATATTTAATTATTTATTATGTATTCCTCCACTTAGATTAACCCGTAATGATTTAAAAAGAAAAATACATAAAAATACTTGTGTCAGCAGAAAATTTACCTGATATTTATCACCGGGTGTAGAGTCGAAGGAGCCTGCGAAATGCTACATGCCCCCCCAATATTGTAGGAGGGTAAAGTATATTTAATAAGACTAATATTTGTCCTCACGTGCGGGAAGAAATAAAGGACGAAGTAAAGGGGCAATAGAGTAATTACAGGGGCTTCAAAAAAATTCGCGGTCCGTTAAGTGATTTTTACGTGGAAGGCTTTCATGCTTGCGAGTTCATCTCTAACAAACTTGTTTCCACACACAAACCTTTTTCACGAGATTTGCAGAATCCAAACCTCTTTCCCCCTTTTGGGGTATGCATCCAAAAAGTCCCAAACTCCTTTTTCTTCATTTATACACCCATTACCCAAACGTCACAACTCTTATAATCTTAATTTTAATTTTTTCCCCTTTTCTATTTAAAAATATTCATATAATATAAAAACACAATCACTGTGGCTGGCTGGCTGCTGTTAATTGAATCTGAGCAATGGCGGCGTCCAACGGGAGCGAGTATTTCGAGCTCGACGTCGAGTTCGAGGCGGAGAGCACATTTTCGCGGCCGTCCAACGCCGAGCTGGTGGAGCAGGACGAGTCGGATCTCCGATGGGCGGCGATCGAGCGGCTACCGTCGCAGCACCGCACCAATTTCGCCCTGGTGAGGCGCTCCGCCTCCGAATCTGACGGCGGCGGCGGCGAGTGCACCGACACCGTTGATGTGCGGAAACTCAATCGCCTCAATCGCGAGCTTGTTGTCCGGAGAGCACTCGCCACCTCCGATCAGGATAATTACGTACTCCTCTCCGGGATCAAAGACCGCCTTGACAAGTAATTAAATCCAATTTTTTTTTTTTTTTTAATACTGTGTGTCTGCGTTTTTTTTACGTACGGATTCATCTACTATCGATTGTCTCTCAATTTTATTTTTGATTTACGTCCGGTCCTAATTTCTTCAATTTTGTGATTTCCTATTTTAATTATATTAAATTTAATAAATACCTCAGTTTGATTAAAATTGATCTGCTAATTATTGCATGTGGAGTAAATACTGCTTACATGTGTTCACTGTTCAGTAGCATTTCATTTAAATTTCCATGTTAATTACTTTTCAAATTTTGTGTTTAATGACTAATTAATTACTTTTAATTACTTGATGGAGCAATGTCCTATAATCTGGTAATGATCCTTTTCGGTTGATAGTGTAAAAGGATTGAGTGAGATGAAAACTAAAACTAACTGTTTTTTTGTTATGAATTGACGTTTGCTGAAAGCGATTTATTCTTGGTTATTGAATATGAGAATGTAGCTAAAGCATATTTATCTTTCAGTTGTCCATGAAAAGAACACTACAGACTGGGAAAGTTTTACTAACTCAGTACTTTCATCTACCAAATCATTAATATATTTATATATTAATATACTGAGATTTTTTATATATTTTTTTTCTGAATTGATGTGTCATACGTGTTGAATTACTATCATTTAGAGTGGGTTTGGAGATTCCAAAAGTTGAAGTCCGATTCGAGAACCTACAAATCACTGCCGATGTAAACATAGGTTCAAGAGCTCTGCCGACATTGGTGAATTATACTCGTGATATGTTCGAGGTAAAAAAGCATTTTAACATACGCACTTTGATTCAATTTGTAATAGATACTGTTTTTGGATTAATAATTCTTAGAAAGGTTCTCCTTACTGAACTTTTCATTTTTTTTTTGGTCTATGCAGCAATTATTAACTACGTTGAGGATATTTCGCCCAAAAAAACATGCATTAACCATCCTAAATAACATCAGTGGTGCAGTAAAACCAGGAAGGTGAGCAGTGAATCTTTCTTATACTATTAGTAATCACTCGCTCTAAGCTTTTTATACTACATGGTTGTCGTTTTCCAGTTAGCTTCATTTTATCCAAATAAAAAATTATCGAAAATTACATGAATCGAGCATGCAAGAATTGAAATAAACAGATGCGTCAGATAAACAATAAACAATTTTTCAAAGCTGCATATATCTGTGTGGACTAATTCTTTTTAGAGCAAAACGAGTGTATAATATCTGAATACCAATATTATTGTGTCTTGGTAGGATGACACTACTCTTAGGGCCTCCAGGCTCAGGGAAGTCTACATTACTTCGGGCGCTTGCTGGGAAACTTGAAAACGGTTTGAAGGTTAGTTAGTATCTGCTTTGGTCTTTTCCGGGCAGGATTATATTATTCTGGCCCCAAATAGTATAATGTACTTTTGGTAAACTTTGTATGAGAAAGCCCTTGAATATGTGATGGCACCTGTTATAATTATGCACATTCCCTTATATGAAATGTCAGTGTTCATGAAAATCTTTTGGTTTCAGAAAACTGGGAGCATCACATACAATGGTCATAATTTTGACGAATTCTTTGTTCAAAGGGCTTCTGCTTATATAAGCCAGACAGATAATCACATTGCAGAGCTAACTGTGAGAGAAACACTAGATTTTGCTGCTCGATGTCAAGGTTCTAGTAAAGGTTTTTCAGGTACCTGCTGTTTTTTTTTTTTTTTTTTTTTTTTTTTTGTGATTTGGTATGTGAATAACTTGAAACTAATGTCACTTTAATAACTTTGTTATTTAAGTCAACTTAAGAGGAAGTAAATTTAAACCTGAAATAATGATGATATTCCATTTAGACAATTTAAATTTTATATGGCAGGATATATGAAGGATCTTACTGCGCTCGAGAAGGAAAAAAACATACGCCCCCGTCCTGAGATAGATGCTTATATGAAGGTAAATTTTTCAGCATACGAAGAGCGTTTTGACCATTACTCCTTAATTTTAATTCATTTTTCATTTTGATGTATTACATAATGAATTGTCCAGGCAGCATCTGTTGCTGGTAAAAAGCACAGTGTCTCGACGGAATATATATTGAAAGTTCTTGGTCTAGATATATGTTCAGATACACTTGTTGGTAATGAGATGCTCAGGGGTGTTTCAGGGGGTCAAAAGAAGAGAGTCACCACAGGTCTCTCTCTCTCTCTCTCTCTCTGTTATTTTCGACTGTTCATGTATGCATGGATAACTCTTCAATAAGTTCTCTCTTTACACAGGAGAAATGGTGGTTGGGCCACGGAAAACTCTTTTTATGGATGAAATCTCTACGGGGCTCGATAGCTCTACAACCTACCAAATTGTTAACTGTATAAGGAACTTTGTTCATGTAATGGAAGCAACAGTCCTAATGGCTCTTCTTCAGCCAGCTCCAGAGACTTTTGATCTTTTTGATGACCTCATATTACTCTCCGAAGGGTATCTTATATATCAAGGTCCTCGTGCTGAAGTTATTGATTTTTTCGAGTCAATGGGTTTTCGATTGCCCCCTCGTAAGAGTGTTGCTGATTTTCTGCAAGAAGTAATATTTCCTTTTTTCATTTATTATTTTCTGATTGTGATTGATGTGAAATTCACCATGTGTCTTACATTACATAAGCCATTTATTTGTGTCATTAGGTAACATCAAAGAAGGATCAGGAGCAATACTGGGGTGATCATTCAAAACCGTACGAGTTCGTCCCGGTTTCGAAAATAGCCGAAGTCTTCAAGAATTCAATATATGGTCAGAATCTGGAGTCTTTTCTCTCTGTTCCATATGATAAATTTAAAAATCACCCTTCAACTCTGCCCAAAACAAAGTATGCGGTACCAAGAATGGAGCTTTTAAAAGCTTGTTTTTCCAGAGAAATACTTCTCATCAATAGACATCGCTTCCTATATATCTTCAGAACATGCCAGGTTCTACTTTTCACCTTTCTCTTGGATCTTTTATAAGTTGCGTAGCTTAAGTATCACTTATATAGGTGAAGCTTTAAACATATAATTTCGCATCTACAATTATTATCTTGAGTCTTGATATTAGAACAAAAATTGTCAGTATGATAATTAGTTGTGCCTCTAAGCATTTATGATCTATGCTCGATAAATTGAGAGGAATAGTTTTCTACAGTACATATATAGAGTTGACTCGTATTTTCTCATATATCGGATGAATGCCAATTTGAGGAAAAAAAGTTAAACATAAAGGCTAGAATCAGAATCACTCTTAGAATCAAGATCATATATTCTATCTAGGAAATTGTTCTTGCAATTTTTTTTTACAATTTTCATACTCATACTTTTTCTACGAATTTTGTTATTTATCTGTCATATATAAAACTCGCTCGTACACTACACATACAATTTTATTGACCAATTAACTAATATATAACTAATCCAAGATAATACGAATATATTCAAGAACTTGAAATATCTTAAATTGTAAAACTAAGCTGTAGATCCAAAAAATAGACCACATCAATCTCTAGAAAAATGAATTTAATCCGTACTCAAGGTTGATATTACCAGCCTAAAATTATAGGTCTGCAGTATTTACTTACAGATTTTGAATTTTTACAGGTTGCATTTGTAGGATTTGTGACGTCTACAATGTTTCTCCGAATGAAACAAAATCCAGCCGACGTGACAAACGCCGAGCTCTATCTTTCATGTTTGTTCTTTGGGCTGGTCCATATGATGTTCAACGGATTTACTGAACTACCCCTTATGATATTTCGGCTTCCGGTATTTTACAAGCAACGAGATAATCTTTTCCACCCTGCATGGGCATGGTCTTTCTCGAGTTTCGTACTTCGTGTCCCTTACTCCATGATTGAAGCTATTGTATGGTCTTGTGTAGTATATTACACTGTAGGATTTGCTCCTGCAGCTGGAAGGTTCCCCCCTATTAACTCTTCCATTCAAACTGTAACTATACTTTTTTTTAATCTCACTCTTTCCTCTTATATGCATCAGGTTTTTCCGATATATGCTTCTACTTTTCTCAGTACACCAAATGGCATTGGGTCTGTTCAGGACAATGGCTTCTCTAGCAAGAGATATGATCATTGCTAACACTTTCGGGTCAGCTGCATTATTGATAATATTTTTGTTGGGAGGATTTATCATACCAAAAGGTCAGTATTGTTTTTTCATCATAATAAAGTAAGTTTCTCCTTTGATTTACTATACATAGTGATTGATAATTGTTTTATATCAGAAATGATCAAGCCATGGTGGGTTTGGGCCTTTTGGGTATCTCCACTGTCGTACGGGCAGCGTGCAGTTTCTGTCAATGAATTTACTGCTACAAGATGGATGGAGGTTTGCTCTGCTCTTTAGTTGCTTGGATCTGTAACATAATTCATAACGAAAATCTCGAAATCATGTGATGTAATGTTTTTCTGTTTCTGATGCAAATTTTAATTCTTTTTTTTGTTTTGGTAAAACTCATATTTTTGCAGATATCAACTGGCGGGAACACCAGTCTTGGAGACACGATTCTGAAGCTTCATAGTTTACCCAGTGACGGTTATTGGTATTGGATTGGAATTGGTGCTTTACTAGGATATGCTCTGGTTTTCAACATTGCTGTGACAATAGCACTAGCTTATCTCAATCGTAAGTTATTTGACACTTCTCATTTACATGCATGCATGCAGTAACCTGGATTTGAGGGTTTAAATGTATTCCAATGATCTCGAGGCAGTAATATTGGAGGAACAGATAAATTTATTTGAAACCTATAGAGAGCCTGAGTGAACATAAGATTATACCATAATTCAAAGTATGAAGTAATCTGTTGAGATCGCAAATATACAATACAAACACAGTCAATAGTTTTTAGATTAGTCCTTCAGCAGTTAATTTGGAAGTTCTGAAATCTGAATACGAAATGCTATTCCTAAATGAATAAATCTATCAACTTTTAAGAGTATACTTAACTTAGTCTTCAAGTAGTAGAACAAATATAAAATTTATATTTCGAAAACAGGACTATTCTCTGATACATTGTCAAATTGAATGTTATGCACATGCACCGTCTTTAGGGAATTATAATTTAAATAACTGCACAGCCCTTTGGATTTCTAACAGCTCGTTTTTGCTCTTTCAGCTATTCAAAAATCACAGACAATTTCCCCTCCAGATGAGAACCAGGAACATTTACCTATCAATGGTGAGAGTAAACATTTATAATTTAGCTATGCATACACAGTATGTTGACTCGTGTTCTCATTTTCGTTAAAAAAAAAAAAAAATGTTTTTGCAGGCAACGATAGTAGAACGCAAAAGAAAGGTATGATAATGCCGTTTCAACCATTGACAATGACTTTCCATAATGTTAACTACTATGTTGACATGCCCAAGGTAATCAACCTTTTAAAGAAAATAACTTCTTTTAGATCCATTCTATATGCTACTTGCAAATTATAACAAATTTCTCGGCTACTAGGAAATGAGTTCTCAAGGTATACCAGAAACTCGGTTGCAACTTTTGTTCAATGTGAGCGGAGTATTTGCGCCAGGTGTCCTCACAGCATTAATGGGGGCCAGTGGGGCAGGGAAGACCACTTTAATGGATGTGCTTGCTGGTAGAAAGACTAGTGGCTATGTCGAAGGAGATATCAAGATTTCCGGCTACCCAAAGGAGCAGAAAACCTTTGCTAGAATATCAGGATATGTTGAACAAAGCGACATACATTCTCCTCAGCTAACAGTTATCGAGTCTCTCTGGTTTTCTTCATTTCTTCGTCTTCCAAAGGATGTCAATGATATCCAAAGACAAGTGAGATGCTAAGGAACTTTATATGGAATTCTTACATCACGTTATTTATTTGTTTTTATTTTATGTTTTGGTGTGTTGTGACAATTTAATTTTCAGGAGTTTGTTGAAGAGGTAATGCAATTAGTTGAACTCGATCCGCTAAGGAATGCTTTAGTAGGCTTGCCAGGCAGCACTGGCTTGTCCACGGAGCAAAGAAAACGTTTGACGATTGCAGTGGAGCTTGTTGCAAATCCGTCCATTATTTTTATGGATGAGCCTACATCGGGTCTCGATGCACGTGCAGCAGCTATTGTTATGCGAACAGTACGTAACACGGTTGATACTGGAAGAACTGTTGTGTGCACCATACATCAGCCAAGTATCGAAATATTTGAAGCCTTCGATGAGGTTCGAAATGGAAATACCAAATGTAAGTATATCTACTTGTTCAGATAGTAAACTGACAGGTAGTCATAAAAAAAATTGCAGCTTCTACTTATGAAGCGAGGAGGGAGAGTAATATATGGCGGGAAACTTGGTGATAAATCACAAACAATGATCGATTATTTCCGGGTAAAACTTAGTCTCTTATCAAGTAATCTTGCTTTGGCATATTTTTTTTTTCTTTTTTTAATGGGACTGATTTATATTTGCATGTACTTGCTTTGATTGCATAGAGTACAAGTGGAGGAGTTCCTCCAATACCTGATGGTTACAACCCAGCAACTTGGATGCTTGAGATAAGCACAGCTTCCATGGAAGAGAAGATTCATCAAGACTTTGCTGTCATATACGAACATTCACAGCAGTTTCGGTAATCCTAAATGATGCTTTTTACTTTTGATTTTTCCCTTTAACTTAATTAAAGTCCGAACATAATGTTTTTTTTATGCCAATGTAGGAATGTTGAAGCTTCGATTCAGAGTTGGAGTGTTCCACCTGAAAATTCCCAGCCTCTGAAATTTACGTCCACGTATTCTAAAGATACTATTTCTCAACTTAAAATATGCCTCTGGAAGCAAAATCTCGTTTATTGGAGAAGCCCAGCGTATAACACAGTGAGATTGTTCTTTACAACAATAAGTGCTATTATTATTGGCACAATATTTTGGGATGTCGGTTCAAAGAGGTAAATGTCATAAAGCATATGACAATAATTATATCTTAAGCCAAGTAAATGAGCATTTGCTCTCGTTTACGAGTAAATATCGAATTACTTTTGTTTATAGTTTTCATCAACAGCAGGGCTAAAAAGATTTAACATTATTAAGCATGGCAGTCCACTTCTAATAATATGATTATTACATTATGCCTCCGTTCCAATTGTACAATATTTTTATTTATAGAGTTCTCTAAATGATTTTGCAGGGATTCGACTCAAAACTTGTTTGTTGTAATGGGAGCTCTTTACTCTTCTGTCTTGTTTCTTGGGGTCAATAATTCTTCATCTGTACAACCAGTAGTATCTATTGAGAGGACAGTTTTCTACAGAGAGAAAGCTGCTGGAATGTACTCTCCTATTCCATTTGCATTTGCCCAGGTTAGTGCTTTTAGCTACTGTTTATAGTGCATATATGTAACTGGTTCATATTACTATAAAACAAGTTTCATAATATGTACATCAGGTCTTATCGATCATCTGAGAAGTGACTCATTTATCACGATTCTTGATATGGGAGTCACAATCACAGTGATATTGATTAAATACTTCATAGCTAGTTTATTTCTGGATCTAAAATAAACACCAATATGGATAACCGTTTGACAGCTCCTATTTATGGTGATAAATTGTGCTCAGAGACCATTTAATTAATCTTAATTACAGGGCCTTGTGGAGATTCCGTACATTCTGGTGCAGACAATATTATATGGTATAATTACATACTTCATGATCAACTTCGAGAGGACAGCTGGTATGCTTTTTTTATCTTCTTTAAGCTGTGTTTGTTTCCATTTCTTGTAAATCTACTTTACCCGTCTTACTTGAGCTGCAGTATCAGTAACTGACAATTCTATTTATGTTTTCTTGTTTTTTGAGTAATCCAAATTTGCGTTTTCTTTTCCCGTAATATTTTATCAGACGAATGTAATTCATAGTTTTGGCATGAAAAATAAACATTTGGAGATTAGGAGCCTATTTCGTCTACCATCAAGTCCCTGCCAAGGTGTTGGTTTGATTACTTTCGACATTGCTAGTAGAAAAGTACATACGTTTTAGTGAAAATTAGATTCATCAATACTTATTTCGTAAATTCTGTAAGTTGAAGTCATGTTATTGCCTTTCTTTTCACCACATCAATTCTAATAGCAGCTAAACACGATAATCACGAAAAAGTAAAAAGTCTTAAACCTCCATCATATATCTGGTCTTCAACGGAGAATTGCATAATAACTCGTGCTCTTGCATCGCCATTCGGTTTGCGTTTTGCAGGCAAATTTTTCATGTATCTGGTGTTTATGTTTCTGACATTCACATACTTCACCTTTTACGGAATGATGGTTGTCGGTCTCACTCCCACTCAACACTTAGCCGCTGTCGTTTCCTCTGCATTTTACTCACTGTGGAATCTCCTCTCCGGTTTCCTTGTCCCAAAACCGGTAAGTAGATTATCTCCAAATATTTAATAATCTAATTATTATATAATTACAACTGAATGGGGATTGATAATCTATATTTTTTTAATCAGAGCATTCCTGGATGGTGGATATGGTTCTACTATATCTGTCCAATTGCATGGACTTTGCGCGGCATAATAACATCACAGCTAGGCGACGTAGAGTCGATAATCGTAGGGCCTGGATTTGAGGGTACTGTGAAGGAGTTCATAAACGTGCGTTTTGGTTTTGGGCCAGGAATGCTCGGAGTTACAGTAGCGGTGCTCCTTGGTTTTAGCGTTCTCTTCTTCACCGTTTTTGCCGTCTCTGTCAAAATTCTCAACTTCCAGAGAAGATGAACTAACCCGCTCATATACATACATATCTTATGTATGAATCTGAGAAGTACATATATGCTTCTCTCACAAATTTACTCATATATAGTTCAAATACTCCGTTGGTATTTCACCAAGTCACACTTGGAGTTTTTCTGATTCACTTCATTCACATGGAACTGTAGCAGATATGGAACCATACCATTTTGTATTTCTTTCAGAAATAATATAGATGAAGGTTAGAATTGTTCACATAGAATTGTTCACATAATTTTTTTTAAATATCTATATATTATCAAAAACATTGTAAAATCAATATTTTACAAGCTATGTGAAAAAGGGACTTACTACTTTTTACAGTTGAAAAATTGCTATTTGTAGTTCAAACCTAATGCTATTTGTATTTGAACGCCCATGCGCCCAAACCGGAACCGGACGCCTAAACTGGGCGTGCATTCCCGAACCGGATGCCCGAACCGGGCGTTCACCGAGAGCAATTTTGGAAGAAAAAAATAGCTCCACAAATCGATTTGTAAGGCGGTTTAATATGAAATTACAACCGAAATTTCCTACCCAATGCAATAAAAACATTTAGGAGTTGAAAATACCTCAAAATTTCGATGATTTGGCTTGTTTTTGCTTGAATTCAATTTTTTTGATTTTTTTTTAAATATTTCGATTTGGAGGGAGTGGGTGTGAGAGGGTTTGTAGTGAGAGAAGTATTTTTTGGGATATAAACTGCAAATAGCAAAGTTTTAACCCCAAAAAGCATTTCATATATATATATATATATATGGTTAATGGCAAAGAAGGGAGTAAATTGCAAATACTACCCCTGTGTTATCTCGAAATAGCAAAAACCCCCCTGTGATAAATAAACTAGCAAAAACCCCCTGTGAAATTTAGTCAAAGGCAGAATCCCCCCTAGCTGATTTTTTAGACTTGAAATGACAAAATTGTCCCTCAAAATGTATTTATATATATATACATATTATATGTATATTTATTCCCTCAAAATGTATTTATATATATATACATATTATATGTATATTTATATGTAAATAAAATAATTAAAATATTTATAAAATATAAGAATTTATTAATTGCAAGACTCCAGGGGTATTTGTGTCTTTTTATATCAAGTCAACCCTCAAATAGTTCCATAGGGGGGTTTTTGCTATTTAAATAATTTCACAGGGGGGTTTTTGCTAGTTTATTTATCACAGGGGGGTTTTTACTATTTCGAGATTACACAGGGGTAGTTTTTGCAGTTTACTCCAAAGAAGGCTACGGCAGTGACACTTAATTAAAAAAATGACATTTCAACTTTTTTTGTTTTTCAAATAATTCCAGTTCATTCAAATTTATTTGCAAATAAAGAAAACCCTTTTATAAATACCAAAATTACCCTCAGTTCCTTGAAACCTAATTCAAGTCTAATTTTATAATTTGCATCCCAATCTAGCCAAATTTCACCAATTAATCATTTTTGACCTGCCAACACCGGAGATTGCTGGTCTCCGACGTTGACTTTCTTTTTTTTTGAAAACATTTTTTTTTCTGAATTTTTTTCCGGCAGGTCAACTGCCGGTCTCCGGCGTTGATTTTTTTTTTAATTTTGTTTTTTTCTTTATTTTAATTAATATTACTGTTTTGGCTGTTAAATTACTGTCTCCAACAATTATTTAACTGTCGGAGACAGTAATTTATCTGTTAATTCACTTTTTTTTTCTTTTTCTTTTTTTCAATTTTTTTTTTTCTTATAAAAAAATATTTTAATTAATATTATTGTCTTGCCTGCTAAATTACTGTCCCCAACAATAATTCAACTGGCTGAAACAGTAATTTTGTAATTTTACTGTATCAATTAATTTTATCTTCTTGGCCTGCAATTTTCCTGTTTTCGACCGTAATATTACTGTCTCATGCAATAATATTATTGTTTGGGACAGTAATATTATAATATTATTGTCCAGGAAAGTAATATTCATAATATTACTATCCAAAACACTAATATTAATTTTACTATTTGGGACAGTAATACTACTGTTTGGGGACAAGAATATTAGTAATATTGTTGTTTTGGTATTCAATATCACTGTTAAAGTCAATTAACAGTTAAATTATTGTTAGATACAGTAATTTAGCAATAATAATTTAGCATCCAAGACAGTAATATTAATTAAATATTGTTTTTAAGATTTTTTTTTTTAAAAAAGGTCAACATTGGAATCTGGCTGGAAATTAAAAAATTCCGAAATTTGTTTTTTTCTGAAAAAATAATTATTTTTTCAAAAAAATATTAAAAAGAGGGTTAATGTGATTATTTGTTTAAATCCAGGGTTAATTTGAAATATGGAGAAAGTTAGAGTATAATGGATGAAATTAATAAAAAATATATTGTGAAAAGTATTTTAGACAAAAGACGTGGGTATGTTTATTTGGGAGACTGTTTTTTGTCTGGACCAATGTACATTTACCACCATTGTCATGACCCTTTTGCTATTTGCCCATATATATATATATATATATATATATATATATATATATATACAGTTAAACCTCTATAAATTAATACTGTTGGGACCATCATAATTTCATTAATTTAGCGAAATATTAACTTATCGATAAATTAATAATTATTAATTTATACATTAATTAATAAATTATTAATTTATGAAATTACTTTTATTATTATTTTCAATAAATACATTTTTTTTTAAATTTTTTACGTGTATATTATTCATTGTACCATTCGTCAATGCATTATAGAGCCCGTTTCACGAACGGAAGCTCTTAAAGCAGCAATGATATAGAACGATTTTATGTTGAGTTATGACAAAACTATACCGAAAGTTCTAACTATGTTAAGAAAAGTGAGGGACGAGATTTATGGTAATGTGAACTTTAACAGAAACAAGCAACAATTAGATTGTATTGTATGAAACTTTCATTGATCTATAAAATATGAACTATACCATGTAATTTAAGAATTATTTTTATGCATTATTAATTTATATATTATATGGGGCTTCTTAAATTTTTCGAATGTGTATTATCTTATAAATTTAGCGAATTATTAATTTAGCACGTTGTCCCCGAGTCGGGACCGGGAAAATTTATTATTTAAGCGAGGTTATTAATTTATCGGGTATTAATTTATCGAGGTTCTACTGTATATGGCTTATTTTTTAAACCCCTAGGTGCCTAATAAACTAGAAATAAACCCAAGAAAAAATCATCCTTGTGAGTACCCGAAAGGTGAAATTACTATACTGTCCTTACATGTCTTGGGATGCTGATCGCATTGGGGAAATCTAGAAAGACCATTTCAGAGCACAACACCCCCTTCTCCTTCATTTTTCTCCATTTTTTATTTCTTTATTTTCTTACAAATCGAGCATCCCTCTCCATCCCTCCGTTACTATGTCCAAATCTGGAGTTCTTTTCATTTTTTCTTCTACGGATCCGACAATCAGCCACCTCTATTGGACCACCCATGAGCAAACATATCCGGTCACCCACAACTAACTCCGTGAAGGTTCGCTTAGATCCAACCACATGTTACCAACACCGGCCAAATAACCGTGTTCCTTGACCGCTTCGCCGGATTCCGAATTTTACCCGGGCGAACAGAATTTCAGTCATTTGGCTCCAGTTTTCAATTTTTCCAATTTTAGAGGTCAGACCGGACTGCCTCATCAAGGGGTCGTGGTCAATCCAGTGCGACCGGCCGTTCCGGTCAGGTCCAGTTCTAACAACATTGACTATTATAAAACTCGTGTACAAATAGATACGCACTTTGAAATAAAATATAAAAATTAAAATAGTAACGAAAATCTTGGTAGTTGACTAGGAAACAAAGATGAGTAAAATTGGGGGCACTGTCTTGAACACGAAAGCTTTGCCCTAAGTTACGTAACTAGTTGTTTGTGCCCCTTTTAATTTGTTGCTCACTCAGTTCACATAAATAATATAAACAAGAAAACCATTCAATTCAATCTTTATTCCCATTTACGAATATTTTGACTGCATATTAATATATATATATATATATATATATATATATATATATATATATATATATATACTTAGTGGTGCACCTCATTCCAACCACTAACTCTCTATAAACCAAATACTTGTATGTCAACTTATGTTTTTCAAACCATACTTAGCTAATATTTAACTAGATAATAATAACAACGACACAAATATTTAACACAACTTTTAATTATTTATAAAGTGTCAACCAAAAAAGCTACAACATAGGTATTATTGGAATTAATATTAGCTTATGACAACTTATATTTAGAGAAGCAAAATAAATAACTAGTTTTAATTTGCAAAGCACTCGAGATAAATACGTCAAAGTTCATTTCAAAAAACTTTTACAAACACCACCTGCGTAACTATGGGATAAATTTATCCGCCCTCATGACATCAATCCAATAGAGAATCGAATCCAAAGTCTTATACTTAGTTTCGAATCCCATAGAATCGATCTTGAATCGAGTACCCAATATCTTCAAAGGGCATCGGAACAACAAATCCAAGAAATCCCAATTAGCCAAATCCATCAAATTAGTGTCCACAAGCCCTTCTTTCGCTACAATCTCCTTCCAAACGCCTCCCTTATCACCCATTTCCGATGCAAACACAAAATCCCCCGAAAAAAACGGCACATTTTCATGCACATTAACACCAAACTTAGCACCAATAGCCGGCCAAATCTCCTTCCAAGTATACGACTCGCCATTTATAGCATTAAAAGCTTGCCCCTGCAAATTGTCACTAGTAATTTTATCATTCGTACCGACCCAAATGTGTTGCTCGGCCACTAAACGAGCGTCGGAGGCATCGAGGTACATTTCCTCCCAACATTCTTTAGTGCCCCCAAACACGAAAGGGAGATTCAAATGCTTACAAATGGCTCCATAAACACATATACTACCAATAAAATTGTACAAAGTCTTGTCCGAACACCCCATAATCAATCCAGGCCGATGAATCGACCATGCCACGTTATGACTAGGCAATCTCTCTTGCAGCAAATCTTCGAGCGCGTAATAGAAATTATGCCCCAAACACGCCCTTGGGCATTTCTCGTCGTAGTGGCCGACTTGTGGGTCCGAGGAGCCTGTAAGCGAGACATAATGCTTGGTCCCCGTTTGGAGCGAAACGTGCCTTAACGCCTTAGCCTTCGGGAGGAGGGCGTTTAAGACATTAGCCATCATAGCTCGATTCTGCTCGTAACAATCGGAGCTATCGAGAGAAAATTGGCTAGCCCATGTGACCCAAAATATGTGTGTCACATCATCCAATATTGGAGATAGATTTTTTCGAGTCTCCAATGGATTGAGAAGGTCGCACGGAATGAAACGATACCGTTCGACGTCGGCGGGCCCCACTTTTTCGGGGCGACGGGATATGCCGTACACCTTCCAATCACACGTGGAGAGTAGCATTCTTGCAATCTCCTTCCCTACCAGCCCAGTAACTCCAAAGATAGCTGCTACATTTGTGTATTTTGTATTTTGTGAAGCCATTACTTTGTATTGTTAATTTGGCACCAATTGCTTCTCTATTTATCTTGTACAAAATTCCATATTTTATGGTGATGGTGATTATTTATTTATATATGTATATGTGTATTAATCAAGATATGATTAGTCAATCTCCTTTTTTATAGGAAAGATTTCTGGCTTTCTCCTTAAGCATTAAATCAAAGACTAGTAGCCTAGCTACTAGTAGGTGTTGTAATATGCTACACCATGTAAATTATATCATATTGTATGTCAAACAACATAAAATAAGTAACTACCAAATACCTATATACATGTATAGTGTAATATATGCCCGATAAAGTTTACCGAGTATAACATAGAATAATCCAGACCCGGGGAAAAAAAATGAATATTATTAATGTAGAAAGGGAAGGGATTATGAGCATGTACATTCAATTATATGCATTGGGTAAATCATCACCGTTCATCTTCACACACCAACATAAATGTGTGTGTAGATCGATCAATTATGAATATATATCATGTGTAATTTTCATTAAATGTAGCAAATTATAATTAAACATCTATAAATTAATACAGTCGGACTCGTAAAACTCTATTAATTTAGCGAAATAATAAATTATCGAACTAATAATTTAGTACATTTATCAACTCAAAATCGTAAAAAAATATTATTTAAACAAAGTTATTAATTTATTGAATATTAATTTATCGAGGTTATATTATAGAATAAATATTATTATAAGTGAGTGGTGTGAATATAGTTAATTCAAGTTGGCGAGTGGCAAATAGGTAGGCAAGTAGTTGCGGCTAGGTCGGCACATTCGGGCACCAGCCGTCATCTTGTTGGCATTTCAGTTGGAATTAATTCTACATGAAATTATTATTAATGTCGATTATTAGTTTGTAATCCCCATAATTTACTTATTTGTCACGGCAGTACTTACACCAGTCTTGTTTGGTTGTCAATATAAGATTAATCATTATAAAATTAAATAATCTAACAAAAATCTAATTATTTTATCCAATCCAGAGACGTTCGATAGAAAAATTCCCTGAAAAGAAAGATAGAGCATGATAACATAATATTTATGGGTCGATCCAACAAGTTATTAATAATATCAAACATCAAATAAAGTTCTATTTTTCTTCCCAACTAAATTGAGGCCATAGTGTATAAAAATATTGACATATGGCACATGATGAAAATATAATTAAGACAGCCTGACCATCATGCTTGTTGATTAAATAATAGAATCATTATAAAGATTTGCTCCTTTTTTATTTTGGCACTTTGCATCATTGAAAAAAATTAATAGCGATTTGTATCCTCGAAACACAATAAATCATGAGTAATGCATTCGGCTGAATTTTTATCAATTATTAAAAGAAGAAAAAAAAACCTTCAACAATTTTATTATCAAGTTATTTGAAAAATATATTTTCTTCTAAAAATTTCGACCAAATAATTTCACCAATTATAATAAAAAATCCGTCAATCGAATAATTTAGTTATAAACGTCTAATTAGTTCTTTCAATAATTCGGTATGATTTTTTTTATTCGCACTTTGTATACTCGAAATTATGTTGGATGTTGAAAAAAATGAATAATTTGATATTATCCACCATGGAAATAAATATAAAACAATAAAAACATAGTTTCTCTTATTAAGTTTTAAATATTCAATTCACGGTGAATTGTGAATAATTTATTGCATTTTATTTAAGAATGCAAAGTGCTATTAATTTTTTTAAGGGTGTAAAAATGCTAAAATACTCCATTTGAAAGCTGCAAAGTGGAATTAAGCCTTTTATATTTATAAGACTAAATTACGGTCACAGCGCTAATTAAATATCTTGATAATCCTCCAAATTATTTTTTTTCCATCAAAATACTCCTAACAAACTGACAAACATGATCAGTCAAAAGATATGTAAGTTATGCTTGAATTGTAGGTATTTCTTTCAATTTCCTTTAGGTTATTTTGAAATTTTATATTTGAAAAGGATCATATATCAAATTATCAATGAATTGTGTATCAAATCATGTTTTGTTCCGATAATATTTATCGGTAATTCAATTTTTTTTCTTTTTTTCTTTTTTGCATTATATATCTATAAGTAGTTTTGTATTGACATTTTAAATAGGGGTTTTTGTGATAAAATCCCCAACCAATTATGTTTATTATTCTAGGTTTAGGGGACATATCTCTTTCACAAAGAAGCCCATCACTTTAATATTTATTATAAATAAAGGAAACACTCATGTATATCCCAATATTACCCTCAACCATTTATACCCAATTCTTTATTGTAACCCCAATTTAATCAATTTTATCCACAAAAATCCAATTTTGACCACAAAAATTCAATTTTGACCCCAAATTTAACTTAATTTAATCTCAATTTGACCCCAAATTTCACAAATTATTCAATTTTGACCCAAAACTTTTTTTTTTCACAAACATTTTTTTCAATCCGGCGTTGACTTTTCTTTCTTTTTTTTTTTTTTTTTTCTTTTCTTCCTGATTTTTTCGCCGGTTTCTAGCGGTCTTTTTTAGTGTTTTTTTAAGTTTTTTTTTTCTTTGTTTGGTTTGTTTTGTTTTTCCACGTCCGCCGCTAAACGTTGACCGTAATTGTGCTGTCACTGAAAGTAAATTAACGTAATTATACTGTCAATGTTAGTTAATTGACGTAATTTTATTGCCGTTAACATTACATTTATGTAATTGTGCTGCCGTTGACAGTAAATTAATGTAATATTATTATTTTTTATTTTTTATTGTTTTTTTTTTTTGTTTGATTTGTTGACAAGTCAACGTAATTATATTACTGTCGTTGACAGTAAAATAACTGTACACACAATAATATTACTGTCAACAACATCAATATTATTTTTTTTTGGGGGTTTTTGTTTTGTTTGAGTTATTCACGGAGTAACGTAATAATATTATTGTCTATTATTGTAATATTACTGTAAACACAATAATATTACTGTGGTTGACGGTAATATTACTGTTGTTATAGTAATATTGTTGTCAACCACATCAATATCATTATTTTGTTTGGATTTTTTGTTTGTTTGAGTTATTCACGGAGTAACGTAATAATATTACTGTCTATTATTATAATATTACTGTGGTTGACGGTAATATTACTGTCACTCACAGTAATATTAAATCTTTTGGTTTTTTTTATTATGTTTACATTTGTTGAACGGTCAACATAGTAATATTACTTTATTACACAATAATAATGAGTTTTGTTGTGTTAATATTAATGTGCTAGAGATTAATATAGCAATATTACTGTGTTAAACTATAGTTTAGTTAATTTTACCATGTTTAACAGTAATATAGTTAATATTACTGTCAATCACAACAATATTGCTGTTTAAACGGTAAAAAAAGTTACAGAAAAAAAAAAAAAAAGAAAAAAAAGAAAAAAAAAAATTAAAAAGTCAACGCCGGAATCCGGCGAAAAAATCCGGAAGAAAGAAAGAAAAAAAAAAAGTTGAAAAGTCAACGCCGGAGACCGGCGTTGATGCCGGTTAACGCCGGAATCCGGCGGGAAAAAAAAAGTTTTGGGTCAAAATTGAATAATTTGTGAAATTTGGGGTCAAATTGAAGTTAAATTAAGTTATGGATGAAATTGGAGCATATTAAAGTATGAGGGGTGAGTTTTAGTCCTTTTCAAAAATCTGGACCATGTGTGTATTATTAGGTAAAAGAGGTTTTTGTCTTGATCTCTTTACAAATAAGTACCCATTGATGGACTTATTTGTAAAGATCCCTTTTAAATAAGGGTTTTTGTGCATAAATCCTCAACCAAACATCTTTATTATTTTAGATTTATGGGATATATATATTTCACCAATAAGCTCATCCCTTTAATATTTAGGCGCGGATATATGCAAGCCCATTTGTTTATTAGTTCAAGACCTCCAACATGAAAATAGTAAGTTACCCTTAATCAAATTCAAAACTAAATAAAAAACGTAAATCATAAAAAAAATTAAAAAAAAAATTCGGCGTTACAACGCCGATTTTTACTTGTAAAGTCGGCGTTGTGTCGCCTATTTGGTTAACAAAAATCGGCATTGTAACGCCGATTTTCGTGTACAAAATCGGTCTGGATAAACCGATTTGGGAAACCAACGAAAACACACAAACAAATCAATTTCAATCTCAATTTGTTTTCCAAAATCGGCTAAAGCATTGCAACCCAACAAGAAGTAAGCATAGATTAATGTTCATCCACGCATATTTATCAAGAATCAATGCTCGATTAATGTTTTTGAATTGACAAACAAAAGTTTAGTAAAAAAGACTTCTTGGTGGGGGTGGGGTGGTGGTGATGGTGCGGTGGGGGTGGTGGTGATGGTGCGGTGGTGCGGTGGGTGAGTCGCTAGTCGTCGCCAATGCGGTGGAAGTCTCACTGGTCGGTGTCTCGGCGGTCTGATGGCGGCAGTTGTGAGTTTTTTCTATTTTTTTTTCTATTTTCTTTTTGTCTTTTATTTTTTATTTTTTATTTTTTTTTTGGTCTTGAACAAATTAAAAATAAAGTTTGTTTGTATTTGGGTATTATTTATTGATAAGGGTATATTCGTCATGTTTGGTCTAATAAACTCCTTTATGGGGTTTGAACCAATAAAAAAATGGGCTTGCATATATCCGCCGCCTAATATTTATTATAAATAAAGGAAACATTCATGTATATGACAATATTACACGCAACCATTTATACCCGATTCTTAATTTTTCCCCCAATTTAATCAATTTTGTCCACAAAAATCCAATTTTGACCACAAAAATTCAATTTTGACTCTTTTTTTCAAAAACTTTTTTTTTTCAAAAACTTTTTTTTTTCAAAAAAAGGAATTTTGCCACCGGATTCCGGCTTTGACTTTTCGATTTTTTTTGTTTATCTTCCGGATTTTGTCGCCGGTCTCAGCCGTTGACTTTTTTTAGTGTCTTTTTAAGTTTGTTTATTTTTTTTTACGTTCGCCGCTAAACGTTGACCGTAATTGTGTTGTCACTGACAGTAAATTAACGTAATTATACTGTCAATGACAGTTAATTAACGTAATTGTACTACTGTTGACAATTCATTTATGTAATTGTTTTGTTGTTGAAAGTAAATTAACGTAATATTATTATTTTTTTATTTTTTGTTATATTTTTATTTTGTTTGATTTGTTGACAAGTTAACGTAATTATATTACTGTCGTTAATAGTAAAATAACTGTAAACACAATAATACCACTGTCAACAACATCAATAATATTTTTTTTTTTGAGTTTTTTGTTTTGTTTGAGTTATTCACGGAGTAACGTAATAATATTATTGTCTATTATTGTAATATTACTGTAAATACAATAATATTACTGTGGGTGACGGTAATATTATTGTTGTTATAGTAATATTGATGTCAACC